TATATATTATATATATATATATGTATAATATATATAATATATATATACATACACACACACACACATTTATTGAAATATATTGAATATGGGCAAAATTGTAGCATTTCAAATGTATTTTTCTTCCATATGGGTTTACCCATGTAAGCGCACACAGCCGTTGCACCCTGGGTGTGGGAAAGCGGCGGCGTGCGTGAAACCTTAGACTCACGTAAGTCCCTGGCAGGTCATGTGACATTTCTTTAAAGAAAAAAAAGATTATTACAGTTGTCATTTATCTACATTATTACAGTCACTGAAATCCGCGCCAGGGAAGAGGGTGCAGTATGGAAATGCCAACAAAGCAAAGAGACAAAGTATACCTGAGCTCTTTGAGATAGATATGTCAGGTTTTTGTTTCTGCTAAACGTGATTAAAAATTGTGGAGCAGAAAGGAGGATATTCCGGAATATTTCTGTAATAGGAGACGAGCTCCCAGGTCCGTGTGACACCCGAGAGGAACGACTTATGATGGAGGGGACAAAGGCCGTCCCCGGGGTCCATTGTCCTGCTCCCTTTTGTCTGCTTTGTACGCTCATCAGCCGAATACTTCCTCCTTCATATCTGACAAGGACACAGTAACACGCACCTGTTCTATGACCAATAAACTAGAAACAGAAAAACTCGACCAGTAAATTATATAAATAAACCAGCGCCGAATAACCGATGGATCACCAGCCTCACTCCCCATCTGTCCAGGAACGCAGTCCTTCCTCGCAGTCACATGACGCATCTTTCCGTATAAATAATCACTTCTCAGACACAACGGCAGACGCAACAAGACAGACTACAGGTAAGTGTAATCATCTATAAAACAATGTATCCAAACCAGGGGCGGACTGACAACTCATGGGGCCCCCGGGCAATAGGGGATCATGGGGCCCCTGTCTCCTTGCCCAAACTCAAAAAAGCCTATGAGAAAGGTACCAGGGGCATCTCATGGGGCCCCCTGCTGACCCCGGGCCCTCGGGCAGACTGACAACTCATGGGGCCCCCGGGCAATAGGGGATCATGGGGCCCCTGTGTCCTTGCCCAAACTCAAAAAAGGTTATGTACCAGTGGCATCCCATGGGGCCCCCTACTGACCCCAGGCCCTCGGGCAGTGCCCGAGTTTCCAAATGGTCAATCCGCCCCTGGTCCAAACCCAAGATCAAAAGGTAATGTATTGCAGCTTGCTGGTCCTTAGATGGGCGGCTGCATTCGTTTTCTTTTTTAGGCTTTTTTTTAATTTTATTTCACCTGGTGATCCTGCCAGTAACACCACCACCAGTTCTAGGGTGACAATGTACTGCGTGTATGGAGGAGCAGCAATGTGTCCATAGTAAAGGAAAGGAAGATTTACTAAAACTGGAGCACACAGAAGCTGATTGGCTGCTATGCACAGCTGCACCTGATTCTAACTTCAGCTTGTTCAATTTAAGCGGGCCAGACATGGAATTCGGAACGATTTTTCGACCAAAAATCGAAAACATCATTCGTTCTGTAATCCGATGGTGCCACCAATGATTTCGAAAATTGGTAGTTTTTCACGAATTTCCCAGCATGCCCGATAAACAAAATGGGGAGGAACCACGAAAATCGGCCGGTGCCATTGCCCCACTAACAGAACGAAAATCGGCCGATTATTCTTAGGTCTGATTTTCGTATAAAAAATTGTTTGGAAATCGACCCGTGTATGGGCGGCCTAAGCTTTGACAATAAGCCCGGGTTCACACTGATGCGGTGTGGAATTTGCAGAGTTTTCTGTGCAAATTCCGCGCCGCATCAGAATCGCACCCCAATCATGTGAACCGCTGCGGGTGTGTATGTTAAGGTAACAACACCCCAAAAGCAATCTGCAAAACGCGGTGCGATGTGTAGAATTGGATCGCATGGGTGTGAATACCCGTGCGATCCGATTCTAGTGTGGACCCAAAAAAAAGGGTCCTGAAAGTTTTTGGTGCGGGTGCGATTAGAGCCATACAAAATGTACGGCTCCAACTGCACCGCACACAAATCGCATGTGATTCAAAGAGGAATGCGGTGCGGTTTCTCTGCGAATTACATGCGATATACCGCACCGCATGTATGTGAACCCGGGCTTAAGCCTGGAAGCTGATTCGTTTCTATGCAGAGCTGCACCAGTTTTAGTAAATCTCCCCCCTCTGTGTCTTAGTACTATAGAACAGCCCCCCCACCACCACCACCCAATCTCCATAACATAGGAAGGAGGTGTTCTGTAGTCCACAGAGAACAAAGCTAAGTGATAAGAGGCAGAGAGCACAGGAAATTATCAGTTTACAAGCTTTCTGTCAGGATTAAGAGGTATTTTTTGCAATAATAAAACAGAGAAAAAATAAAGAAAAAATATTTAACTGTACATTTAGGAAGATAAAAGAAGGAGAATAAAAGAAGTTCAATGTTACATAGTTAGTCTGGCTGAAAAAAAGACAAAAGTCCATCCTGTTCAACCATAAAAAAAAAACAAATATATATATATATATATATATATATATATATATATATATATATATATATATTTATTATAATCCTACACCCACAGTTGATCCAGAGGAAGGCAAAAAACCCAGCAAAGCACGATCCAATTTGCTCCTGCAGGGAAAAAAATTCCTTCCTGATCCCCCGAGAGGCAATCGGATATTCCCTGGATCAACTTTCCCTATAAATGTTATATCCAGTTATATTCTGTGTATCCAAGAAAGAATCCAGGACTTATCCTTCTTGTTATATGAGGCCTTGACTACACTCTGGACATTACCAAAAGGTCACCATGTAATGTTCAGTGTATGTAATGATACAGAGAACTGTCAGAGACTGCAGACATCCTACAGGAGATGGTCAGAGACTGCAGATATAGTACAGGAGATGGTCAGAGACTGCAGACACCCTACAGGAGATGGTCAGAGACTGCAGATATACTACAGGAGATGGTCAGGGACTGCAGATATAGTACAGGAGATGGTCAGAGACTGCAGACACCCTACAGGAGATGGTCAGAGACTGCAGACATAGTATAGGAGATGGTCAGAGACTGCAGACATAGTACAGGAGATGGTCACAGACTGCAGACATCCTACAGGAGATGGTCAGAGACTGCAGACATGGTACAGGAGATGGTCAGAGACTGCAGACATGGTACAGGAGATGGTCAGAGACTGCAGACATAGTACAGGAGATGGTCACAGACTGCAGACATAGTACAGGAGATGGTCAGAGACTACAGACATAGTACATGAGATGGTCACAGACTGCAGACATAGTACAGGAGATGGTCAGAGACTGCAGACATACTACAGGAGATGGTCAGAGACTGCAGACATCCTACAGCAGATGATCAGAGACTGCAAACATACTACTGTAGATGATCAGCGACTGCAGATATGGTACAGGAGTTGGTCAGAGACTGCAGACATCCTACAGATGGCCAGAGACTGCAAACATACTACTGGAGATGATCAGCAACTGTAGATATGGTACAGGAGATGGTCAGAGACTGCAAACATAGTAAAGGAGATGGTCAGAGACTGCAGACATCATAGAGGAAATGGTCAGAGACATCCTACAGGAGATGGTCAGAGACTGCAGACATCATAGAGGAAATGGTCAGAGACTGCACACATACTGTAGGAGATGGTCAGAGACTGCAGACATCCTACAGGAGATGGTCAGAGACTGCAGACATCATAGAGGAAATGGTCAGAGACTGCACACATAGTACAGGAGATGGTCAGAGACTGCAGACATCCTACAGGAGATGGTCAGAGACTGCAGACATCATAGAGGAAATGGTCAGAGATTGCATACATAGTACAGGAGATGGTCAGAGAATGTGAACATGTTACAAGAGTTATTTAATACTGGACATACTGTATGTTTCAGGAGACATTGATATTCTGGATACACATTACACAGAACTGTTAGAGATCACGGCTGTTACAGTCCTTTTACAGTTCAATGCTCTCTGCAGTCCCCGTAGAAATACTTTGTGTCACATTTGATGTTTCTCTCAGTAAGATGTATTATACAAGAGCAGAGAAAAAAAAACATAAAAAGAAAAAAAGGGATGGAGTCTAAATAATATGATTCCTTCAGTGGGGAAGGAGAACACAGATTACTGTCTACAGAAGCCCCACAAAAAGTGTCAAAGGGCCACATGAGGCCCCCAGTTTGCAGGTTGGGCATCAATCCACACATTGAACCTATGATAGAGCCACATCAGATCCTCACACAGAGCCCTTGTATTGCTCAGCTGGCACTTTAATCTAGGCTGGCACAGGTAGCTGAGCCTGGCGCTGCCACCCCTTCCTCCTCCTCCTCCTCCTCCTCCTCCTGCTGCACAGCCCTTGCTGCGTTGGGGAGTGTGTAGAGGTGACACCCAGCTACACCTCCAGGCAGCCCACACCCTGCACTGACTGCGGCCCGTCACAGCTGGGTCCAACTGGCGAAGCTCTGGGATTGCCTGGTTTATGTTATGGCAGGTAGGTGCCCTCTGCACTGCAGATTGGAGTGTTCTGTACCATATTAGCAGCAGAAGGTCTTGTATCAACTCAACCCAATCCATACGGTACCAGTGTATTCAATGTACCAGACCAGCAGTGGTACTGGCACAGGTAGGCAGGCCATAGATGTTCTATGCCCGAGTCTGACAGCTGGGACCCAACACAACCCTTGCCCACAGTTCATGAATAGTACTCTGCTTTAATTTTTACCATCCCACCTGCAGAGTCATTTTCAGCCAGTTAGAAAAATTTTGAGTGATAACCTCAAACTTCCTTTAGTACTTGTCAGCAGCAAATTGGAAACTGTTCAGAGACTGCAGACCCATTACATCTCCAGTCAGTGGGAAAATGCTCCTTACATTGGTGATCAGTGGGAAGAATGTCCCTTACATTGGTGGTCAGAGGGAAGAATGCCCCTTACATTGGTGGTCAGAGGGAAGAATGCTCCTTACATTGGGGGTCAGTGGGAAGAATGTCCCTTACATTGGTGGTCAGTGGGAAGAATGTCCCTTACATTGGTGGTCAGTGGGAAGAATGTCCCTTACATTGGGGGTCAGTGGGAAGAATGTCCCTTACATTGGTGATCAGTGGGAAGAATGTCCCTTACATTGGTGGTCAGTGGGAAGAATGTCCCTTACATTGGTGATCAGTGGGAAGAATGTCCCTTACATTGGGGGTCAGTGAGAAGAATGTCCCTTACATTGGGGGTCAGTGGGAAGAATGTCCTTTACATTGGGGGTCAGTGGGAAGAATGTCCCGTACATTGGTGGTCAGTGGGAAGAATGTCCCTTACATTGGAGGTCAGTGGGAAGAATGTCCCTTACATTGGGGGTCAATGTGAAGAATGCTCCTTACATTGGTGATCAGTGGGAAGAATGCCCCTTACATTGGTGATCAGTGGGAAGAATGTCCCTTACATTGGTGGTCAGTGGGAAGAATGTCCCTTACATTGGGGGTCAGTGGGAAGAATGTCCCTTACATTGGGGGTCAGTGGGAAGAATGTCCCTTACATTGGGGGCCAGTGGGAAGAATGTCCCTTACATTGGTGGTCAGTGGGAAGAATGTCCCTTACATTGGGGGTCAGTGGGAAGAATGTCCCTTACATTGGTGGTCAGAGGGAAGAATGCTCCTTACGTTGGGAGTCTGAGGGGAGAATGCTCCTTACATTGGGGGTCAGTGGGAAGAATGTCCCTTACATTGGTGGTCAGTGTGAGGAATGCTCCTTACATTGGTGGTCAGTGGGAAGAATGCTCCTTACATTGGGGGTCAGTGGGAAGAATGCTCCTTACATTGGGCGTCAGTGGGAAGAATGTCCCTTACATTGGGGGTCAGAGAGAAGAATTTCCCTTACATTTGGGGGTCAGAGAGAAGAATTTCCCTTACATTGGGGGTCAGTGGGAAGAATGTCCCTTACATTGATGGTCAGTGAGAAGAATTTCCCTTACATTGGGGGGTCAGTGGGAGAATGTCCCCTTACATTGATGGTCAGAGAGAAGAATTTCCCTTACATTGGGGGGTCAGTGGGAAGAAAGTCCCTTACATTGATGGTCAGTGAGAAGAATTTCCCTTACATTGGGGGGTCAGTGGGAAGAATGCCCCTTACATTGATGGTCAGAGAGAAGAATTTCCCTTACATTGGGGGTCAGTGGGAAGAATGTCCCTTACATTGATGGTCAGAGAGAAGAATTTCCCTTACATTGGGGATCAGTGGGAAGAATGCCCCTTACATTGGGGATCAGTGGGAAGAATGCCCCTTACATTGGGGATCAGTGGGAAGAATGCCCCTTACATTGGGGGTCAGTGGGAATAATGCCCCTTACATTGGGGGTCAGTGGGAAGAATGTCCCTTACATTGGTGGTCAGTGGGAAGAATGCCCCTTACATTGGAGTTTAGTGGGAAGAATGTCCCTTACATTGGGGGTCAGTGGGAAGAATGCCCCTTACATTGGAGTTTAGTGGGAAGAATGTCCCTTACATTGGGGGTCAGTGGGAAGAAAGTTCCTTACATTGGTGGTCAGTGGGAAGAATGTCCCTTACATTGATGGTCAGAGAGAAGAATTTCCCTTACATTGGGGGTCAGTGGGAAGAATGTCCCTTACATTGGTGATCAGTGGGAAGAAAGTCCCTTACATTGGGGGTCAGTGGGAAGAATGTCCCTTACATTGATGGTCAGAGAGAAGAATTTCCCTTAAATTGGGTGTTAGTGGGAAGAATGTTCCTTACATTGGTGGTCAGTGGGAAGAATGTCCCTTACATTGGTGATCAGTGGGAAGAATGCCCCTTACATTGGGGGTCAGTGGGAAGAATGTCCCTTACATTGGGGGTCAGTGGGAAGAATGTCCCTTACATTGGGGGTCAGTGGGAAGAATGCTCCTTACATTGGTGATCAGTGGGAGAATGCCCCTTACATTGGTGGTCAGTGGGAAAAATGTCCCTTACATTGGGGATCAGTGGGAAGAATGTCCCTTACATTGGAGTTTAGTGGGAAGAATGTCCCTTACATTGGGGTCAGTGGGAAGAATGCCCCTTACATTGGAGTTTAGTGGGAAGAATGTCCCTTACATTGGGGGTCAGTGGGAAGAATGTCCCTTACATTGATGGTCAGAGAGAAGAATTTCCCTTACATTGGGGGTCAGTGGGAAGAAAGTCCCTTACATTGGGGGTCAGTGGGAAGAATGTCCCTTACATTGATGGTCAGAGAGAAGAATTTCCCTTACATTGGGTGTTAGTGGGAAGAATGTTCCTTACATTGGTGGTCAGTGGGAAGAATGTCCCTTACATTGGTGATCAGTGGGAAGAATGCCCCTTACATTGGGGGTCAGTGGGAAGAATGCTCCTTACATTGGTGATCAGTGGGAAGAATGCCCCTTACATTGGGGGTCAGTGGGAAGAATGTCCCTTACATTGGTGGTCAGTGGGAAGAATGCTCCTTACATTGGTGGTCAGTGGGAAGAATGCCCCTTACATTGGAGTTTAGTGGGAGGAGGGGGCCATTACATATGTGTTTGTTGGGATGAATGCACCCTTAAAGATAACTTTTAAAAGAGATCATTGCTGTCAGTGGTTACTTATATGAAAGTTGAAAATTGCGGATTTTCCTATCCTATTTGTTATTTATTGGGTAATGTGGTACAAACTATTTTCTCCTGAATGCAAATCTACACAAACAAAAGCCAAAAGCAGATGGCAACTACACATTATTTAAATATCTTATGATGTCATCCTCCTGGCTGCCATTCAAAAAGTGCAATCTTTTATTTGTAGCTAGTAGAAGTAAAAACCTTAGGAGGCCCTTGGGAGCCGGGGCCATTGTGGTTCCTGTATTACTGTGGCAGGACAGGTTCACAAGTCTGATTTTCTGACCACATCTCTTACAAACCGGTGATGGGACCAGCCAAAGGAACGACAGGGAAAAAGTAAAACTAAAATATGAGGACAGTAACATCAGTTTCTGGTAGGTTTCTGTTAAAGGAAAGCGCATGTGACATTTGCATGCGTGTTTTGTTTACATAAAGTTTTGGCATAAATGCCTAGCCAGCTCATTGGCTTCCAGTTCTGTTTAACCAGTGAAGGAACTTCTGTTCAGACGTCATTGCGCTATCCATATCCCCTGCAGCCATTGGAAACACTTTGTCAATACGGATGGGAGAGTTTCCTTTACACGCTCATTATGTCTGACATTTTAATTACCACAAAAATCACAGTGATGCACACAGAGGATTGTGTTCAGGTTGGTTTGTTTACTTGTGACAGCTACTTATATAGCATTGACCAATTACAGTTGCAAGAAAAAGTATGTGAGTTTTGCATGAATTGGGCATAAAATGTGCTCTGAACGTCATCTAAGTCACAACAATAGAAGAACACAGTCTGCTGAACATAATACTACACAAACATTAGATGTTGCCATGGTTTAATTGCACATAACATGTAAACATTCACAGTGCAGGGAGGAAAAAGTATGTGAGGCCCTAGCGTAATGACTTCTCCCAGAGCTAATTGGAGCCAGGAGTGAGCCAACCTTGACTCCAATCAGTGTGATGATATTGGATGTGTTGCTGACAGCTGTCCTGCCCTTAAAAAACACACACCTGTTTTGGGTTTACTGGTTTTAAGAAGCACTGTCTGATGTGAACCATGCCTCGCAGAAAAGAGCTCTCAGAAGACCTACGATCAAGAATTGTTGACTTGCATGAAGCTGGAAAGGGTTACAAAAGTATCTCCAAAAGCCTTGATGTTCATGTGTCCACGGTAAGACAGACTGTCTACAAATGGAGAAAGTTTAGCACTGTTGCTACTCTCCCTAGGCGTGGTCGTCCTGTAAAAATGACTGCAAGAGCACAGCGCAGAATGCTGCATGATGTAAAGAAGAATCCCAGAGTGTCAGCTAAAGACCTACAGAAATCTCTGGCACATGCTAACATTTTTGTTGACACATCTACAATAAGGAAAACATTAAACAAGAATGGAGTACATGGGAGGACACCACGGAGGAAGCCATTGCTGTCCAAAAAGAAGATTGCAGCACGTTTGAAGTTTGCAAAAGAGCACCTGGATGTTCCACAGCACTACTGGCAAAATATACTGTGGACAGATGAAACCAAGATTGAGTTGTTTGGGAAGAACACACAACACTATGTGTGGAGAAAAAAAGGCACAGCACACCAACATCAAAACCTCATCCCCACTGTGAAACATGGCGGAGGGAGCATCATGGTTTGGGGCTGCTTTGCTGCCTCAGGGCCTGGGCGGATTGTTGTCATTGATGGGAAAATGAATTCCAGAGTTTATCAAGACATTTTGCAGGAAAACGGACGACCCATCTGTCCGCCAACTGAAGCTCCGCAGAGGATGGGTGATGCAACAGGACAATGACCCAAAGCATACAAGTCATTCAACAAAACAATGGCTGCAACAGCACAGAATACGCCTCTGGAGTGGCCCAGTCAGAGTCCTGACCTCAACCCCATTGAAATGCTGTGGCATGACCTTAAGAGAGCGATTCACACCAGACATCCCAAGAATATTGCTACACTGAAACAGTTTTGTGAAGAGGAGTGGTCCAAAATGACTCCAGATCGTTGTGCAGGTCTGATCTGCAACTACAGGAAACGTTTGGTTGAGGTTATTGCTGCCAAAAGGATGGTCAACCAGTTATTAAGTCCAAAGGTTCACATACTTTTTCCTCCCTGCACTGTGAATGTTTACATGTTATGTGCAATTAAACCATGGCAACATCTAATGTTTGTGTAGTATTATGTTCAGCAGACTGTGTTCTTCTATTGTTGTGACTTAGATGACGTTCAGAGCACATTTTATGCCCAATTCATGCAAAACTCCACAGAATCCCAAGGGGTTCACATACTTTTTCTTGCAACTGTACACAGCACTTTACATATAGATTGTACATTCACATCAGTCCCCGCCCCCGAGGAGCGTACAATCTAAGGTCCCTCACTCACATTCATACATACACATACTAGGGCCAAAGATAATTTTCTGGCGTTTATCGTCTGTTGCGGGCAATTTACTTTCTCGCCATCAGCACTGTTCGGTTCAGGGTAGAAGCACTTTTTCAATGGTATTAGCTGTCCGGGAGGCCCTGGAATGGTGCAGGGCTGCAGGCTGGGGAAAGTTCTTGCTGGCATTGCATCAGGCCAAAGCTTTTGTTCGGGTCAATCATGAGTACCTATGGCTGCTTCTTGGCAAGTATGGCCTGTGGGGGGGCTTTATCGATTGGCTAAAGACTTTATACAGAGGGGCTGAAAGCTTCATGCTTGTAAATGGTTGGATTGGACAGCCCTTTGGGGTTAGCTCGGGTGCGTCCTCTGCTATACGCATTCGCAATCAATCCCTTCATTCAGAGGAACCACTTGGGTGGGCTGGTATTTTTCAGTTCTGGTTGAGGCCTTTTCTGCGGAGCTGGGAGAATGGTGGGCCAGTAAAAAGCCTGAGGGTCCAACATGGTAAGCTCCCGGCTTATGTTGCCCCCCCATGCCTGAGAGTGCTTCGGCAATGGCGAATGATGGCGGAGGAAATTAAGTCTCTTCCTAGGAAGGCCCTGGAGAGGAGGTTGTTTGAATCTGCCTTTAGCAAGCCATTGGCCTTGAGGTATTGCCCAGGCCCGGTTATGAGGGAGGGTCTGTGTTTGATGAATCTGGAGAGAATCCCTTTAAAGTTTCAGAATTTGGCCTGGCTCTCGTTCCATGGCAGACTATGTGAAGGGCAACCTGAAGCATCGCTCTGCAGAGAACCGTGGTTGTCCAAGAGTGGAGTGCGGTGGGGTAGAGGAAACGATGGACCATTTCTTGCTTCAGTGCCCCTTCAATATAGATGTCTACAAGCGGGTGGGTGGGGCTCTGGGGATCCCTTTCCCTTCCTGCTTGAGTTACGCGGAGTGGTCTTACGGAGCCTTTCAGACTCACCGGGACTTTGATTTTGAGACACTTTTTCTAGTTAGCTTAGTAGTCCATTACTACACGTGGAATGCACTGTGTCAGGTTTCCATTTGCAAAAAAGTCCTTCCTCTCGAGGTGGTGATGCACAACATTCTGGGTGAGGTTGGGAAGATTCGGGGTCTTGAGAAGGACGGGTGGCGGCCGGGAGCCTGGACAAAGGCGTGGAGGAATGTCAGGTCCCTGTAGCTGCTGTCAGTCTCTGGGGGCGTGGCTTCTCTTTCTGTCCTTTCACATCCCCTAGATTTTTGTAACATCAGATTTTTGAAGAAAGGTGGCATGTATGGGATCAATGTTTCATCATTTCTCTTAGCCTGAGGGGGGTTCAGGTGATGGTCGGGTTTGCTGAGATACATTATAAAGATAATAATAATATTAAAATATGATTGGTTCTGTTTATGCTTTTCCCGGCAAAAAAGCAGTTTATTGTTTTCTATGCTGAAGTAAGCTGTTTTTGTTTAAATAAATATATATATAATTTATTCTGCATATATGTAAATATTTTTTTATTATGTTGTTTGTTTGTAAGATTTTTAAGAAACAAAACTTTACAATCTAAGGTCCCTAACTCACATTCATACATACACATTATGGGCCAATTTAGACAGGAGCCAGTTAACCTACCAGCATGTCTTTGGAGTGTGGGAGGAAACCGGAGTACCTGGAGGAAACCCACGCAGGCACAGGGAGAACATGCAAACTCCAGGCAAGTAGTGCTGTGTTTCGGATTCAAACCAGTGACCCCAGTGCTACTAAGCAGAAGTGCTAACCACTTAGCTGCTGTGCTGCCCATGGCTCGTCCTCAACCACCAGCCCATATGGAAGAAAAAATATTTGCTGCAGGGGTCTACTGTTGGGGGGACCTATTGCTGGGGTGGGGTCCATTGTTGCTGGGGGACCTATTGTTTTGTGGCGTGGGGTCCATTGTTGCTGGGGGAGTCTATTGTTGTGTGGGGTTCTATTGTTGCTGG